CAGCACCACGCTCAGCCAGTGAGCGAACCGGCCATCCCTATGTGGGATCCGAACCCAGGGCTTTGGTGTTATCAGCACCGCACTCTCCTGAGTGAGCCACGGGCCAGCCCCATAGTTATATTTCAATACATGTGTACAGTCTGTGTTGATCTATTCAGGGTAATTAGCCCATTTATCATTGTGAAACTTAATCATTTCTTGTGATATGCACATTTGATCTCCTTTATTTTTGTTTGTTTGCTTGTTTTGTTTTGTTTTCTTTTTTTAGATCCACATGTGAATGAGAACATGTGGTATTTCTCTTTCTGTGCCTGGCTTATTTCACTTAACATAATTTTATCCAAGTTCATTCACATTGCTGTGAATGGTAGAATTTCATTCTTTTTTATGGCTGAGTAAGTATTCTGTTGTGTATATGTATCACATTTTCTTTATCCATTCATCTGTTGATGAACATTTAGGTTCTGTATCTTGTGAACAGAGCTGTAATAAACATGGGGGTGCAGGTATCCCTTCAACACGATGCTTTCCATTCCTTTGGGTATATACCCAGTAGTGGGATTGCTGGGTCATATGGTAGTTCTATCTGTAATTTTTTGAGAAATTTCCATACTGTTTTACATAATGGCTGTACTAATTTACAGTCCCACCAACAGTATATAATGGCTCCCCTTTCTTCATATCCTCCCCAGCATTTGTTATTTTGTCTTTTTGATAACAGCCAGTCTAACTGGGGTGAGATGTTATCTTATTGTGGTTTTGATTTGCATTTTTCTGATGATTAGTGATGTTGAGCAATTTTTCATATACTTGTTGGCCATTTGTATGTCTTCTTTTGAGAAATGCCTATTGAACTCCCTTGCCCATTTTTAAATCAGGTTATTTATTTTTTTTAACTATTGAGTTGTTTGAATTCCTTATATATTCTGGAAATTATCCCCTTGTCAGATGCATAGTTTGCAAATATTTTTCTCCCATTCTAAGGTTGTCTCTTTGCTCTATTGATTGTTTCCTTTGCTGTGCAGAAGCTTTTTAGTTTGATGTAGTTCCACTTGTTTAACTTTTACTTTTGTTGCTTGTGCTTTTGAGGACTTATTCATAAAGTCTTTGTCTAGTCCTGTCCTAGAGCGTTTCCCATATGTTTTATTCTAGAAGTTTACAGTTTCAAGTCTTTAATTGATTTTGAATTGATTTTTTTGTATGGAGAGAGATAGATAGGTCCAGAAATTTATCCATTTCCTCTACATTTTCAAATTTGTTAGTGATAGTTGCTCACAATAGTCTCTAATGATTCTTTGTATTTCTGTGGAATCAGTTGTAATGCCTCCTTTTTCATTTCTGATTTTTGATCTTTGGGTCTTTTCTTGGTTAGTCTAGCTAATGGTTTGTATATTTTGTTTATCTTCTCAAACAACCAAATTTTTGTTTCACCAATCTTTCATATTTTTTGGTCTCTATTTCATTTAGTTCTGCTCTGATTTTTATTATTTCTTTCTATCTACTAATTTTGGAGTTGGATTGTTCTTGCTTTTCTAGTTCCTTGAGGTGTAACATTAGGTTGTTTATTTGGGATCTTTCAACTTTTTTGATGTAAGCACTTACTGGAATATCTCTCTTAGGACTGCTTTTGCAGTATCCCATAGGTTTTAGTTAGTTGTGCTTGTATTTTCATTTGTTTCAAGGAATTTTTTGATTTCCTGCTTTATTTCTTCTTTGACCCATTGGTGGTTCAGGAGCCTGTTTTTTAATTTCCATGTGTTTGTATAGTTTCCAAAGTTTTGTTTATTTTTAATTTCTAGTTTTATTCTACTGTGGTCTGAAAAAATCCTTGATATGATTTCAATCTTTTTAAATTTGTTGAGACTTGATTCGTGGCCTAATATGTGGTGAGTTATAGAGAATATCTGCGTGCTGATGAGAAGAATATATATTCTTCAGTTGTGGCATGACATGTTCTGTATATGTCTGTCAAGTCCATTTGGTCTAGAGTGCCCTTTAAATCCAATATTTCTCTGCTAATTTTTTGTCTAGGTGATCTGTTCAATGCTGAGAGAGGTGTGTGAAGTCCCCAACTATTATTATATTGTGGTCTTTCCCTTTAGATCCAGTAACATTTTCTTTATATATCTGGGTGCTCCAATGTTGCGTGCATATATACTTATGATTGTTATATCTTCCAGCTGTATTGATCCTTTTATCATTACATAATGTCCTTCTTTGTCTCCTTATATAATTCTTAGTTTAAAGTCTGTTTTATCTGATATTTTATCTAAGTAGGGCAACTTTTGCTTGTTTTTGGTTTCCATTTGCATGGGATGTCTTTTTCCATCCCTTCACTATTAGTCTATGTGTGTCTTTATTGGTGAAGTGAGTTTCTTGCAGGTGGCATATAATTGGGTCTAGTTTTTTAATCCATTCAGCCAGTCTGTATCTTTTAAGTGGGGGATTTAATCCATTTATATTCAGGGTTATTATTGAAAGGTATCGTCTTATTCCTGCCATTATTTCTTTCGTTTCTTTTTTCCCCATTTGTTGTTTGTCTTTTCTGTTTTCTTTGTTTGTTTGTTCTTTTGGAGTGAAAAGATACATTTTTTTTCTCTTTCTCATTTGCATTTCTGTTCTACTGGTGGTTTTTATACTTTCTTGTGTATTTATGATGACAGTTCTCACTCTTTTGACTACAGATGTAGGACTCCCTTGAGGACCTCTTGTAGGGCCAGTGTTGTGGTGGTGAATTTCCACAGTTTTTGTTTGTCTAGGAAAGATACTATTTCTCCTTTATTTCTGGAGGATAGCTTTGCTGGGTATAGCATTCTTGGCTGGCAGTTTTTTTCTTTTAGCACTTTGATTATATCATCCCACTCTCTCCTGGCCTCTAAGGTTTTTGTAGAGAAGTCTGATGGGGATTCCCTTATAGGTGGCTTGATGCTTTTCTCTTGCTGTTTTTAGAATTATTTCTTTGTCTTTGACCTTTGACAATTTGACTGTAATATGTCTTGGGGAGTCCTTTTTGGGTTGAATCTGTTTGGAGATATTTGAGCTTCTTGAATCCGGGAGATCATATCGCTTCCAATACTTAGGAACTTTTTGACTATTATTTCATTAAATGTGCTTTCAATGCCTTTTTCTTACTCTTCCTCCTCCAGTACCCCCATAATATGGATGTTTGTGTGCTTAAGGTTGTCTGATAGATCTCATAGGCTTTCTTCATTTTTAGCTTTTTTTTTTTCTTTCTTTTGGTCCAACTGGGTTAATTCAAAAAGCCAGTCTTCTGGTTCAGAAATTCTTTCTTGCATTTGTTCTAGCCTGTGCTTGAGCTCTTGGTTATATTTTTTATCTCATTGAATGAATTCTTCATTTCTAGGATTTCTGCTTGGTTCTTTTTTATGGTTTCTATCTCTTTGTTGAATTTCTCATACATGTCCTGGATTGGGTTTTTTTTTTACCTTATTGTGATTTCTTTTTTTTCTTGCATCATGTTGAGTTTCCTTAAGATTTGAGTTTGGGATTCCTGTTCAGGCATTTCACTGGTTTCCTACTACAGTATTACTACTGTTATGTCACTGCTCACATATTTGGTAATAAATGCTTTTGTATCTTTTAGAGCTTATACTTTAGGCAGCAGCTATCTGTTGGGACAGCTGAAAAATGTCAAGAGGATTTGCTTCTGGATCGCCATCAGCATCTTCCATCCAGGAACCAGAGAGATACTTCCAGCAGACAACAGGTAAAGCAGGCCATAGGGTATGAGCAGCAGGATTTAGACAGGATTATAGGCACCTACTATGCTGGGAGCAGTAAGACTGATCAGAAAAGCAGATTTCTGTTTTATTTCATAGTGTGCAAACTTATTCTTTTTTTTTTTTTTATCTCTTTTAAAAGATGACCGGTAAGGGGATCTCAACCCTTGGCTTGGTGTTGTTAGCACCACGCTCAGCCAGTGAGCAAACCGGCCATCCCATATATGGGATCCGAACCCGTGGCCTTGGTGTTATCAACACCGCACTCTACCGAGTGAGCCACAGGCCGGCCCTGTGCAAACCTATTCTGACCAAGATTATTTTAGGGCTCTAACCAAAACCTAGAGTATTGTTGGGAGCTATTGTCTATTGGAATAACCATATTGTATATTATTTTATAAAAAGTATATTTCTGATGGCCATTGCATTTTATGGCATGAGAGAGGAAGAAACGAGCAATTTCTGCAGAGAAGGGGATGTAAGGATCTCCTGCCCAAAGGCCAGGACTAGATCTCCATCGGTAAGATGGAGCTGGTAGAGCATAAGGCAGGATCACCTAGAAATAAACTAGTCAAGTTTGGGCTGGAACTTGTTAGGGTTATATTGCCTAAGGTTTGGGGGGTATTGAGTTAGATCTATAGTTTTTCAAGAAAATGTTATCATACCCTAGCCTACTAAGATTTTTTTTATGGCTTAAACCAAAGTCTAGTTTATTTCCACTAGAAATTTACCACTCTGGATAGTTTCTATTTTGTGGTTCTATGTTATTTTAAAAACAAAGGCTTCAGGCAACCAGCAATGTTAATCTATATGAAAGAGATAAATAGAAATTTTCCTTCTGGCTCCTTTTGGAGAACAGAATAAAAGGGAGGCAAAGAGGTAGAAAGTAGGATATGGACTGAGGTTTTCAAGACTGAACCACTCCTCTTGTGATTTTTAGTTTGAGTCTAGAAGGTTGGCCTAAGGGTATACTGTTATGTTTTTTTCTACATTTATATATCCTGAACTATGCCAGGCTCTTTCCTACCTCAGGTCCTTTGCATATGTCTTTTCCTCTGCCTGGATATTCTTCCCTTTATTCTTCACAACATTGGTTCCTTCTCATCCTTCAGGTTTTGGTTTAAATGTCACCTTCTTGGAAAAGACTTCTGTTACTACGTTATTAAAAATAGATCTCCCCTATTCTGCCTTTCTCTATCATTGCATTCTGTTTGTTGCCTTCTCAGTGCAAAACAATTTGTAATTATTTATTTGTTTACATGTTTTCTTATTATCTAGAGATTTCCCATTGGAACATAGATTCATGAGAAAGGCACCATACCTAATTTATTTACCATTATATGATCAGCATTTAGCATAGTACCTGGTACCTGGTAATCTCTTGTTAAGTATGTTTTGAATGAATGAATTAGGCCAGTCAATAAAACATTTAGATGTAAGAGAGACTAATACATAAGCAGACAATTATTGTCTTAGTCCGTTTTCTGTTGCTTATAACTGAATACCTGAAAGTGAATAATTTGTAAAGAAACAAAATTTATTTCTTACAGTTTTGGAGGCTGGGAAGTCCAAGTTACAGGGGGCCCATGAGATGATGGCCTTGTTTTTGGTGGGGACTCTCTGCGGAGTCATGAGGTAGTGCAGGGTATATCACATGGCGAGAGGGCAAGAGCATGTTCAGTTGCTCTATTCCTCTCATTACAAAGCCACCAGTCAACTCCCATGATAACCGTTTAATCTGTTACCGCATTAATCCATGAATGGACTAATCCATTCATCCATTCATGAGGACA